TAGAAATCCAAGTGGATCACTGGTCATCAAGTTCAGGTTCACAGATCAGGTTCACTGTGTCTGTCAATGAGTTGCATAGAGTAGGTGCTATTCCTACTCTATGGGTCATCCACATCTAAGCTGTTCCTTTGAGCTATCTGCAATAAGATACGGACAAGCTTGGTGCTCCCAAAACGTGATGCTTCAAGAAAACACTGGTTGATATTGTCCGCACCACCTTCTACCACCATTCCCAGCAACCCCTGAATTGCAGTAGTAGAAATACCAGATGCCCAACCAGGGTCAGATGAGCAAAGAGAAGAGATTGAGGGGAAAGCATTTCACATCAAAAGCTTCTGTGAAATCCTTTCCTCTAAGCTGGTTGGTTACCAACAAGATCTAGAAATGTTTTGAATGCTTACAACTGGAGTTGGATCTCAACAACTGAACTTTGATTTTACTCTATCCCTATTTCCCTGACAACGGGAGTAGAAGTCTATACATTTTAGAGCCCATTCTGTAAAATTTTGGACCTTAGCTCCAGGTTCTGCCTTCTTCATCTCCATGGCATTCCTGGAGGTCTTCATGCAACCTTTGGGCCCATGATAGTTACTGTTTCAGCTAAACTCGTTGTTTGGCTCTAACAGGCAGACAATTAAATTTTAATAGTGAGTAATTATTTTTTATTAATTTAATTACGTTATTTATTAATTACTAATTATTTTTCATAGTTATTCTGTATTTAATTATTTTTTATTCCTGTTGGTTMAATATTATTATAACTATTAATTACACTATTAAATTTTAATCATTTTATTATTATTTTAATAGTGAGTAATTATTTTTATTATTTTAATCACACTATTTATTAATTATTAATTATTTTCGTAATTATTATGTATTTAATTATTTTTATTGGGTTAGTTCATAATTACTATAACTATTAATTGCACTATTAAATTATAATTATTTTATTATTTTTTAATAATGTAATTATTTTTTAATAATTTAATTACATTATTTATTAATTATTAATTATTTTTCATAATTATTATATATTTTATTATTTTTTTGTACGGCTTTAATATTATTTTGAATTTGATAAATTATTTTATATAAAATAGTACAAATTGAGTTCAAATATACCGAATAGTCTATTTTAGGGGTAAAATAGTAAAAACAGGGTATTTCAGATGTTAAGAGTTTGGTCCAAAACAAACAAGCCGAAATATCCAAAGCCTCTGAAAAGTAGAAAAGCATCAATGCCTCTTTTCATATTTCAGACTGTTTTAATTACAAAACTTGATAGACTATAACACAAATCAAACAGTCTTTATCTTTAATTACAAAATTTCAAAATTATCAGTGGATTATTAAAAGATACCTAAAAAGACTTGCCATACATCCCCTAATTATTTGTATCTACTTTATTGGAAAATCTAAACCCATTTGATACTAATTTTAGAAACATTGTTGGTAAAAATAATCGGGTAAAGTAAAACATATAAAATATTTACAAAACTTATATATAATAATAATTTTTTTATTAATAAACACTAATAAAACATACAAAAAGGGGTATTTGTCAATATATACGATTTTAAACTTGGAATTTTTAGATGGGATAATCCGGTCTACTTAGGAGATTCTTGCACATGACACATGTCCCATGTGGGAAAAAGAATATCTGCAATTAATAATATTCTTTTTAATCTAGGCCGACCCGACAGGGAAAATTTTTCTTTTAAACAAAAAGACGGATAAAGAACTGACGACTGAGTGGGCGTAGCGTGTCATGAAGCTTCCGAGTTTCGAACTTCCGATCAGTCGAGGCTGTTCGTTCCCAAACAGCCCCTTAATAACCCATACTAACGGCGTGCAGTGGAATTGAATTCAGCCGATTCAGCCCCCCGACGCTTATGACTTATCAAACATCTCATGGTAGCGTATCCGGATTCCTATTTAGTGTATATTTTAGTAGTAGTACAAGTGGGTGTTACTTCACTGAACTCTTTTTCCCAAAGTACTGGTTGCGGGATTTGATTCCGCAGCAAGGCCGGAACAAATCAGAGGTGATTAGCTGTAGCCTGGTATGGTGGGTGTGCTTTGTTGGCATCCATTTGAAGGTTACTGACGGGCAAGGATCCTCTCCCAACTAAATAAAATTCTCGATTAGTATTTGAATTTTAAAAACATGACAATCCTGCTGTTAATCAACGGCTAACCGACCATTGTGTGGCATTTAAGAAAGATACAAATAATTTTTGAGTGTCATCTAATTTTTTTTATCAAATATCTAAATATTGACAAAAAATTAACAATCTCAAATTTTTGCCTATTTTATAAAGTTGGGGTCACTAGAATGTCCACTCAAATGTGATTTCATCGGTGATTCCAACTTTTTTGAATAGAAAAGGCAAGGATTTGGGATTGTTAATTTTTTGTCAACCTATGGTTGATAAAAAAATTAAATAACACTTGAAGGGCATTTATGTCTTTTTCAAATGTCACTTAACAGCTGGTTAATAGCTAGTTAATGATAGGTACTGGATTGTCACATTTTAAAAGTTTGGGTATTAAATTGTTATATTTTAAAGTTCGGGGACCAAAATGGCACTAGACCCAAAATACATGGTAGTAATCAGGAATTTCCCCCAAAAAAAATAAATAAAAAGCTATACCAAGTGCCAACACATTAATGGGCCCAACTTTTATGATAAGATGCGTGAAACAGATTATGTGAAACTATGTTGAGACCGGCTTCGGTCATTGCTATTTCTAACGGTCTTTACGGGCTTGCATTAGAAATATCTTTATACTTTTGTGCTTTATTTTATGGGAAGATATTCCTAATGTAAGGCCACAAGAGGCTGTTTGAACGGTGTGAGGATGGACTTGCACTGACTGAAGCCAAACTCGTTTTTGTTATGGGCATGATCCATCCCTAATGGGAGTATAAAAGCTTTCAACACTCTTCCAACAGGCCAGTGAAGTTGCCGTTGGGAATATCTCTTTTGCTATACACATTATTGACATTCATCAAGGAGGGTCAGGGACGTCCATCAAGGAGGATTTGATTTTTTTTTTCTTTTATTTTATGTAAATTGTCTAAAATTCATCATGACTTTTTAGCATTCTCGTAAATTTATTATAACTTTTCAATGACCTTTTTTATTTTCTGAAACTCACCATCCCTTAAATCACCTTAGTGCAATTTGTATAATCAATTTCCGTTGAATGGCATATCAGCCTTATTAAACATATTTTTGTGTAAATTTAATTTTTATTTAATATACCTTTGTTCTAACTAACATATGATAGAATTGGATGCCGGTTCTTATTTGATTTGAAATTAAAAGGGATAAAGTGATAATTGTGATTTGCAAGTAGACATGGAGTGTCAGTTTAGTTTGATGAATCAAAAGCATTTTTTCCTTTTTTTTATTTGAAGCTCTCTTTTTATTTAAATATGTGAAATGGGAAAAAATACTGAAATATTTGAAATATATTTTTATTGTTTTTATTAAAATTTTTATTTTCTATTTACAACAGAACAAAGGGTAAAATAATAATATAGCCATAATCCTTAACTTATTTAACCGTCAACTTAGTGATATGGGGGATTCCCTGAATGTTTTAAAAAGTTATGATGAGAATTGCTAGACTTTGTTTTAGACAAAATTTTGTAGGTTATGTTTGGTTTGAAAGAAAAAGTAGGGAAAGAAAGAGAGAAGGGCAACGAAACCTATTATACAAACCCTTCCTTTCCCTACATTTTCCTTCAAACCAAACACAGCCTTATTTGATACGATATACACCGACACGTCTAATCTTATATCTGTCCATATAAAAAAAGGGGAAAAAAAAAAAACTCATGTGGTCTGATCTGCGTGTCTGTTTATCAAAATAAGAAAGGGATAGATGAATTTTTTATCCTATTCTTATGTTAATAAAATAATTTTATATTATTTTTACTAATGCGCAGTCATTTTTTTGTTTAGGACAAGTGGTGGGGTTTAAGAAAATGGCATCGCCATCATTCATGAAAGAAGAAGAAAAGTTGAAGGTGAACTAATGATGCAAAAATTGAACGAACTTGGTGCGACTCTACTTTTTAGGGTCGTGTGTATCCGACCGGCTTATGGCAACATTTCTGCGTGACGATCACGTGCAGCCATCACAAATGTCGGTGGGTATGTTTCGGGAGTTCGTACTGAAGTCGGGATACCAGCTTATGGGTTTGATGAAACCTGTGGCTGTCAAATTGGTCGTCGTGAAGTGCTTGATTGAAGTTGAAGGGCCCCATTTATTAACAGCTGTCATGAGATTTGTTCTCTAGAAGTTTTTGAATTCAACTGAGCATGCTAGATTCTCCTGCGTGTGTAATTAATGATAACAAATAAGAGGCTTTTGATTTCATTTGTTTTGCTGATTATGGGGAAGGGCTGCTGTGCAGTGTGGGCTACCCATACATCTGTCAAGATGTTTCTGATGGCCACCTGATTGGAATAAATCCAGTAGTGTCCAAGTACTTGTCTCTGTAGTTGGAAACTTGGAAACTTTCCACGTGTAGCCGAACAAAATATCTTATGCCCTTTTTCCACATAGCTTCAGAGCCCAGGATGACGACCATCAGTCCACGCTAACTTTCGTGAACTTGCACCCAAAAAAGAAAAAAGAAAAAAAAATCACAATCATAGAATAAATCGGAAGCAGGACCCACAGAATAATAGGGGATTGGGCTAGAACCTCGAAGGAACTGGTCGAAAGCAAGCACTTTGTCATGACCTCTATAAATATCTCCCTACTTCATCGACCTATTGTGCAATGTGCTGTCCATCCTGACCAAACTCATCATGGACGGTTGAATAAGTGGAGGCAAGCCAATCCCTTAAAAATCGTAAATCAAAAGTTTTAGACTTTGATGATGAACGGTGGATATTTTGACTGTTACCTGAGTTGAGTTGGTAGAGGATCAAGAAGCAGCACAGTCTCTGCGCATGATACGTCGTAAAGGCAAGAAACCGCGGTCGTCGAGGTCGAGTCGATCTCACGGTTCAGCAGGACGACCGATTCAGGAAACTAGGAACGGCAAAACAAAACAAAACAGAGACAGACAACCGCCTCTAAAATCGCCCCTGGTTTCACGAACTACCTCATAAAAGCAAGCCATTAAATAACTCCTTCCCCACTTTACTAGCTTCATTCAGTTTCAGTCCTTTCTCCCAGACTAGCTAAGCTAACACCACAAATACGAAAAAACAAAACCAAAAAAATAAATAAATAACTTGTCGCTTAGGCGAAAGAAATCCAACAAAAACCCTTTCCCCAAATACCCAGGAAAATTTCCCACATTATCTGATCTCTGCTTGTTTTCTTGAGAGAGAGAGAGAATCGTTTCTTGTTCCATGGACACCAAAATCGGTAGCATCGACGCTTCCAAGCCCACCTGCAATGATGTCGGATCCCTACCTAACGGCGGGGTTTCGATTGTCCAGAACTCGGTGTCCCCGGCCGTGATGGGATCGTCCGAGGCAACACTTGGCCGCCACATCGCTCGTAGGCTCGTCCAGATTGGTGTCACCGATGTCTTCTCTGTCCCCGGTGATTTCAACCTAACCCTTCTCGACCACCTCATTGCCGAGCCTGGCCTCAACCTCATCGGCTGCTGTAACGAGCTCAATGCTGGGTACGCTGCTGATGGCTACGCCCGCTCCCGTGGCGTTGGGGCTTGCGTTGTCACCTTCACCGTTGGTGGCCTCAGCGTTCTCAACGCCATCGCCGGGGCTTACAGCGAGAATCTTCCCATCATTTGTATCGTCGGGGGCCCCAACTCCAACGACTATGGCACCAACAGGATTCTCCATCACACCATCGGATTGCCGGATTTCAGCCAAGAACTTCGATGTTTCCAGACTGTCACCTGCTACCAGGTAACCCTGATCTCGCTACTGGTTTAGAACTTGGACAGCATGGAACCGTGTCGTCTGATCATATCTATTTTTAACCAGGTCAAATCTTTATTCTGGGTTTTTGTATATTTAGTGATTATATATGTTATGTGATTAGGCAATAGTGAATAACTTGGAAGACGCTCACGAACTGATCGATACGGCGATCTCGACGGCTTTGAAAGAAAGCAAGCCTGTTTACATTAGCGTTAGTTGTAACTTGTCGGCAATTCCCCATCCTACTTTCAGTCGTGAGCCCGTCCCGTTCTCGCTCGCACCAAGGTAATTTTCTCGTTTCCTCATGGGTCTTTCAAGTATTAATTTATTATTACTCCGAGTCTTGATAGGAAAAACTGATTTCTATCTATTTGTTGGATTGTTCCGGTTTCAGGGTGAGTAATCAAATGGGTCTACAAACGGCAGTTGAAGCCGCAGCGGAGTTCCTGAACAAGGCAGTGAAGCCCGTCTTGGTGGGCGGACCGAAGCTCCGGGTGGCTAAGGCTACTGATGCGTTTGTTGAACTTGCGAATGTCTCTGGTTATGCGGTTGCGGTGATGCCTTCTGCGAAAGGGCTGGTGCCAGAGCACCTACCTCGGTTCCTTGGTACTTACTGGGGTGCTGTTAGTACTGCTTTCTGCGCCGAGATTGTGGAATCGGCAGATGCTTATCTATTTGCAGGTCCCATTTTCAATGACTATAGTTCAGTTGGGTATTCGCTGCTCCTGAAGAAGGAGAAGGCGATCCTTGTTCAACCCGATCGGGTTGTTATTGGTAATGGCCCTTCTTTTGGGTGCATTCTGATGAAAGACTTCCTCGTGGAACTCGCAAAGAAGATAAAATGCAACACAACGGCATACGAGAACTACCACAGGATCTTTGTGCCGCAGGGGATGCCCCTCGAAAGTCAGCCAAAGGAGCCTTTGAGGGTTAACGTTCTTTTCAAGCACATACAGGCAATGCTCTCAAGCGATACGGCTGTCATTGCCGAGACAGGGGACTCCTGGTTTAACTGCCAGAAACTGAAGTTGCCGGAGGACTGCGGGTAGGCAAGGAGACGGACACCAACCTTCTAGCTTTGAGATTCTGTTGTTCTGCTTGTCTGTATTCGACTATTTATTAATCATGTTCATGTCTAACAGTCAGTAAGTAATGGATCATGGATGTATGATGCAGGTATGAGTTCCAGATGCAATATGGATCAATTGGATGGTCTGTGGGAGCAACGCTTGGTTATGCACAGGCTGTGCCCAACAAGCGAGTAATTGCATGCATAGGTGACGGAAGCTTCCAGGTAAAACTACCCATAGTGTTAGTTAGTGTCTCTGGCATCTAAACAATTCAATGTCACTGTTATTTCTGTCGAAGTTATCAACTATGGAAAATTTTGATGAGCAGGTGACAGCACAAGATGTGTCGACAATGTTGCGTTGTGGGCAGAAGAGTATCATATTCCTCATAAACAACGGAGGGTACACCATAGAAGTTGAGATCCACGACGGTCCCTACAATGTTATCAAGAACTGGGACTACACCGGACTTATTGATGCAATCCATAACGGTGAAGGAAATTGTTGGACATCTAAGGTGGGAAGTACTGGCCTGGTTCAAGGTTTTTCTCTTTTAATGACAATAAATAGACAAACCCAGGGGAAACTAAACCAGTACTAACTCTCTCTCTCTGTCTCTCTCCATGTGTTTGAAATGAATGCAGGTTCGATATGAAGAGGAGCTTGTGGAAGCGATCAAGACGGCGACGGGAGATAAGAAGGATTGTTTGTGCTTCATAGAGGTAATTGCTCACAAAGATGACACAAGCAAAGAGTTGCTTGAATGGGGATCAAGAGTCTCAGCTGCCAACAGCCGCCCGCCCAACCCTCAGTAGAGTTGGGAGTGTTGGACTGAGGAAGCGTGATTTCCTCAAGTGATGATGATCTTATGGCGTCCCTCGTTTTTTGGTTTAATTCGTTATATAATTCGATGTCGTTTGTTCCTCGATTGTAGCTCCTCTCTTTAAGTTTTTATATTTGTTTCCATGGAATTGAAGTTGTACCACTCCACTGAAACTTGAAAAACTCTTGGTCTTGGGTGTGTGTATGCTTGTGCAAGAAGGAAGAGAGGAGGGACAAACATGTAAAGGGAGAGTTTGGAAGTCTTTGTGTTGGCAGAAACTTTCTCCAATGTCATATGCCATATTATGGATAATCCAAGTGTTCAACTGAACTTTATTATCTTCTTAGAAACCTAGGAACTATATATGTCATCAGAACAGAATTTTCTGTTGTTGGAAGTTAAAATTGATGGCTGGCTTGATAGGCGTGGAGTTCTTTTAAGTTAATTTATGTATATTTGTATTGGTAGGGGTAGGGCAGCGAAACCTAGGGTTCAGAGCAAGGAGAGTTGAGTTACWTGAGTAAGTTTTGATTTAGTTACATCTGAAGCAAAATAAGTGTGATAAATAATATTAATACAATAGTAGTTTGTATTGATATTGAAAATAAAATACAAAATTTAAAACGGAGTTAAAAGTTGAATTGTTTTCCTATTTGGTGCTAGTCAATAGTTCAACCTTTTGGGTCAAATGTGTCAAACCCTAATGTCAAAATTAAATATAAAAAAGATAAAAACAAAAAATATAAAAAAATATAAAAAAAATAAGTATGCTAAAGAATATATGTTTTTAATGATAAGGCAAATGAAATACAACATTAAAAACCAAACCAAAAATGAAATTATTTTCGTTTTTACTGATAGTTCAACCTTACAAGTCAAATGCGTTAATCTTTGATATCATAATTAAATACAAAAAATTACATAAAGATAAAAACATAAAATATTAAAAATATCATTTGGGCACATTTATTAGTATTTAGAAAAGGGGTTCAACAATGTCAAAATTAACCGCAATTGATTAATGCCACACTTTTAATATGCCCTCCCAAAAAAGGCTATGGCATGTTTTCACCGTTGCTTTGTCTCCCAAGCGTAGAAAATGAGGACCTAGATCGAGGCCTCGAGGGGCTCAAGCAAGCTTGGCTGCAAAGAAAGCTGGCTGCGAGTTAGCTTAAATATTTTTGCAGCACTACTCGATCCATTCTGAAAACAAAGTTGAGAAAAAGAACTACAGCGTGTTAGCTAGTGCACAAAGCTATGGGCATGTTTTCATCTAATTCTTTGTTGATAGGCTAAAACATTAACACAATGACTTGAGCGCTGACAGTCTCACACTAGCACGCAACGGCTTTTCATCCCACCGTTGCTCGCTTCACTGCACGTTTSTTTGTTTGCTGGCTCTCATTCTCTCAAGCCTATGCAACAAGCTGAAAAACACTACAACATGCTATGCGCAATACTACTAATAAGGAGAGAGCTAGATCTCTCTGAGCCAATTACAACTTAATAGAAATCTCTGCCTAAGGCCCAGCCCAACATCACTTCTCGCGCTGTGCTGGTGAACATAACGAAGACACGGTGAAGCTCCTTTGTCAGGATTGAATTAGGAGTCTCCGGGAATAGGAGACTCTGCTGAGTTAGGATCGAATTTGGAGTAGGAGTTTCCATTCTCTTCTAATCCTTATCTTGTATAGTTGAGATAGGAAAGATAGGTTTGAGTTTGTATATATGTATCTGAATCCTCAATGAATGAAAACAATAAAAAAGGAAAATCTAGAAAAGTTCTACTTTTACATGGTATCAGAGCGAGGTTGAAGACGAGGAAGCGCGAGATTGGAAAAGAAACCTTGGCCTACTTTCTTCGTCCAAGAATTCCATCTTGGAAGAAGAGACGCAGGGAGCTGAGGGGTCGAGATGCTGCCCGGCGAGTGCAAGTGCGAGACGCGAAGTGGCGAACGCAATCGGTAAAACCAAAATCCAACCCAACTATCCGTTGAGCCACTCCGAATTTCTCCATCAACGGCTTGGATCCGCTTGTCCAAAGGTTTCCACTGCTTCAGAAACTGCGAGAAGGAATCCCCACCACCTGGTTTCTTCTCGGACAACGATTTCGCCGCCCTCGAAAAGTTCTGCTTGTCCAACGGCAGAATCGTCACACTATCCAATCCATGCCGCCCTCGAAAAGCCTCGACAACAGAGCCAAGGATTGAAGGCAGCAGAAGAAGAAGAAGAAGAAGAAGAATCGATAGAGAAAGGCTGGCGTTTCCGAGCTCCACCTAAATCAGCAGCGCCCTTTTTTAGTTTTCATGCATGGGAGGAAAATGTGTAATCAGACGTTTTCCAGCCAGCCAGAAGGACGTTACCACATCAATAGCATACGGAGAGGCGGAGACGCGAGGGATGGAATGTTTGGCATTTTCCAACAGCTGGTTAGTTTTATGGGATGACAATTTCTCCACCTCTGGCTCGGACTGTTTTCTCTGGAATCCTTTTACACGAAGGAGCCTTGCATCTTGTTTGCCCGACCTGACGACGACCAATGGATTCATCAAGATTTGCAGCAACAGTTGGACAGTAAGATTATGACTGTTTATCAGTTGCGGGGCCAAAGCATATGCTTATACTTTTAATGGAAGTCTTACTATTATAGAAGTGGAGTTGCTGATATTACTGCCACCGTAACCTTATTTGAAGTGCAGGATCCTCGAACTGATATAAAAGCCATAGTACGACAGTTTTATTTGGTAAATTCTTGAGAAGACATCTTCATTCTTTCCAAGATATACTTGGGATGTGCGCTTGATGAGGTGGACAATTTTGAAGTCTTAAGTTTGATTTCTGTAAATTGGTTTGGACAGTGGTGAAAAGCCTTGGCAATCAACTCCCACCGTCCCGGCGCTCCAACGGGGTGCTTTGACATCTGTTTCTTTAGCAAATCGTAATCCTCATCGATCCACTCTTTTTCTTCCTCGATCACGGATCAATTACCAGACGAAATCGAAGCGCAGACGAAAATTAAAGGCTTATTGAATTTTTTTTTTTATTTCAGGAGCGGAGGTTGAAGTTCTGCAGCAGGTTTTGCCTCTTGTTCCGGATAAGACTCACGAACGTCTGGATCTTTAACGGGTTTTTTCGGCGAGTCGAAGTTCTGCAGTAGACACGGTGGTCGATATGGTTGAAAACAAAGAAAAAGAACACGGTGGGCGTGGTGGACGGAAACAAGGAGCAGGGGCAGGAGGAAAAGTCGTGGCGGCCAAGTCAAGGCCAATACAGCCAAAGTCTCTGCGCAAGACAATGCGTCTCAAGGATAATCAATCGATGCAGTCAAGACTGGGTTAAATGGACTAAGTAGTGAGCAGTGGAACATGTTACTCAATCTTTTGAACACACAGAAAGAGGGGAGTCAACAACTAAGTGGTAAGCGAAAATTGTCAGAGTGGATAATAGACACAGGGGCTTCTCATCATATGACAGGAAGACTCGAGTCGATGAGAGACATAAAAAACATCATTCCATGCTCTGTCGGGCTGCCAGATGGGAAAGCGACAATAGCAGAGAAAGAAGGCACAGTTGCACTGGACGATCATCTGAAATTGACTAATGTTTTATATGTGCCTAATTTGCATTGCAATCTAATTTCTATGCCGCAATTGATTGAGGAGTCAAATTGTGTTGTTCAGTTCACTAATAAATTTTGTGTGGTACAGGACCGAACTACGAGGATGCTGATTGGAGCGGGTGAGCAGCGAGAGGGACTCTATTATTTCCGGAGCATTACATCAGCAAGAGTAATGAAGACTACAGAGAGCAAGACGTGTGATATTTGGCATCAAAGGTTAGGGCATCTTTCTCATAAAATTGTTAAGTTGCTGCCTTTTGTTAGTACTAAAAATAATAAGGATGACAGTATTAAGGGTTGTGATATATGCTTCCGAGCTAAACAATGTCGAGAAGGGTTTGTTTCTAGTAATAATAAAGCATTCAATATTTTTGAGTTAATTCATTGTGATTTATGGGGTCCTTATAGAACTGCAGCTTCTTGTAGTGCTCATTATTTCTTGACAATAGTACATGATTTTTCTAAAGGTGTTTGGATTTATCTTCTGATTGATAAGACAGAAGTGGGACAAGTTCTTTGAAATTTTTTTGCTATGGTTCAAAGGCAATTTAACAAACCTGTCAAAGTGGTTCGTACTGATAATGGGACTGAGTTTGTCTGCTTGGCTAGTTATTTTTCTCAGCATGGTATTATTCATCAAACCACTTGTGTCGGGACCTCTCAACAAAACGGGAGGGTTGAACGCAAACACCGCCACATACTCAATGTTGCCTGAGCATTGCGTTTTCAAGCTATGCCTATTGATTTTTTGGGGGAATGTGTATTGACCGCATGTTATTTGATCAATCGAACACCATCCATTCTATTGAAGGGAAAGACTCCCTATGAAGTTTTGTTTGGGCGGCCTCCTTCTTATGATAATGTGCGAGTTTTTGGTTGCTTGGCATATGCGCACAATCATGGACATGGAGGGGATAAATTTTTCAGTCGAAGCAAATGGAGTGTTTTTGTTGGGTATCCTTTTGGAAAGAAAGGATGGAGGTTGTATGATTTAGAGTCCGACACGTTCTTTGCATCAAGAGATGTTACCTTTTTAGATGATGAATTCCCTTATGCACACAAGGAGGATGAACAACCAAACAAAACACAAGGCCAATTTCATTGTGGAATAGGTGGGACAGATGAGGTGTTGGTGTCGTCCACTTATTTACCAGGACAAGCAAATGGCGAGATGGAGACTAACCAGCGAGGTGAACTCGCAGAAGGAGTCAGTGTAGAAGAAGGAACCCACGTAGACCAAAATGCCAATACTAGTGAACACATGCATTCTTCTGACGTTACCACAGAAAATGCAAGCGAAGACAGTCCTGACGTCAGGAGGGGTGGCTATGTTGAGCAACAACAGCACTCTGATTCTCATTTGGGGCGTGGGCATCGACAGAAACAGTAGTCCACAAGGTTAAGAGACTATGTGCTTCACACCACACAACGCTTGAGTCCCTCTCCGCGTCCCTTTGCAAGATCACTCGGTCAATCACATCTTGCAGGTAGTCCTTATCCCATAGATAACTATGTGAATTGTAACAATTTTTCTTGTTGACATCGTGCTTTCTTGGCAGCTATTACTACAGGAGTTGAACCTACTTCTTTTGTTGAGGCCGTAAAAAATGAAAAATTGAGGGATGCAATGCAGAAAGAAATACAGGCACTTGAGAATAATCAGACATGGACCGTAGAGCCTTTGCCATCCGAAAAACGAGCCATATGATGCAAATGGGTATATCGAATCAAGTACAACGCTGATGGGACAGTGGAAAGATACAAAGCCCGTCTCGTGATCTTTGGGAACAAGCAGGTTGAGGGAATTGATTATAATGAAACTTTTGCCCCAGTTGCAAAAATGGTTACTGTTTGTACCTTTCTTGCAGTTGCAGCAGCTAGAAATTGAGAGCTTCATCAAATGGACGTACATAATGCATTCTTGCACGGTGACCTTCATGAGGAAGTCTACATGCGAATGCCTCATGGGTTTCAGTCAGATAAACCATGTATGGTGTGTCGGTTGCGAAAATCTCTGTATGGCTTGAAACAAGCGCCGAGATGTTGGTTTGCTAAATTAACCGCAGCCTTGAAGACATATGGGTTTCAGCAATTAGGTTCAGATTACTCCCTATTCACCTTTCGTCGAGACAGGGTACATGTGCCTGTCCTCATGTATGTGGACGACATTATCGTGTCAGGTAATGATCATATGGCAATTCAAGTCTTCAAGAAATATTTGAGTGATTGCTTCCATATGAAAGACTTAGGACCATTGAAATATTTTTTGGGCATTGAAGTTGTCCGAAACTCAACAGGAATTTTTCTGTCTCAACGAAAGTATGCTCTGGATATTATCGCTAAAGTTGGATTACTTGGTGCAAAACCTGCTCCTTTTCCTATGGAGCAGAATCACAATCTGGCTTTGACAGATGGGCCTCTCTTTTCTGATCCTGAGCGATACAGGCGCTTGGTGGGCAGGCTTATTTATCTCTCAATTCATTCAGCAACCGCAAGAAAGACATTGGGAGGCTACATTCCGAGTGGTGCGCTACTTGAAAGGAAATCCTGGTCAAGTAATTCTCTTGCGTTCAGATTGTGACTTGCAGTTATATTTATGGTGTGACTCAGACTGGGCGAGTTGTCCTTTGTCCCAGCGTTCCCTGTCTAGGTGGTTTATTCTACTTGGGAAATCGCCGATTTCTTGGAAAACTAAGAAACAACACACAGTGGCTCGTTTTTCAGCGGAAGCAGAGTATCGGTCTATGGCCACGGCCACGTGTGAATTAAAATGGGTGAAGGGATTGTTATTGGCTCTTGGAGTGACGCATCCGAACCCAATGCGATTATATTGTGATAGTCAGGCAGCCTTGCATATTGCAGCAAACCCAGTGTTTCATGAGCATACAAAACATATTGAAGTTGATTGCCATTTTGTTCGTGATGAAATTCAAAATGGTTACATTCGTCCTGCTTATATGTCGACTACCGTCCAACTGGCTGACATCTTTACAAAGGCACTGGGTCGAAGAGAATTTGAGCATTTTCTCCGCAAGTTGGGCATTCACAACCTGCATGCTCCAACTTGAGGGGGGTGTTTGGATTGAATTAGGAGTCTCCGGGATTAGGAGACTCTGCTGAGTTAGGATCGAATTCGGAGTAGGAGTCTCCGTTCTCTTCTAATGTTAGGATTGAATTTGGAGAACATCCTTTCAATTCAACCTAGTGCTGCTGCTAGTGGTCGCTGCCTCTCTGGGCTCCGTGGGACTATCAGTCAAGTTTTCCATTTTCACTGGAATGACGACTATCACTGATGTTTTTATTCTTTCAATCGGCTTTCGTATGATGTTTTCCATTCACTTACATTACTTGATAACAATCAACGATGTTTTCCATAAATAATGGTCTAATGGGTTTGCAGCGTCTGAGGCCCGGACTTTGGCCCACCACCTTTAAGGGCCAGAATGGGTCTGTCTGTATTTCTGGTTGGGCGAGGCCTGACTCCTGACTCCTGAGCGAGGGTAGATCAATGCAGTCTCCAGCATCCCCCCGACCTTTCAAGTTTCAAGAATCTGATTCTATTTATTGCTTATCACCCACTTTAAAATTCACGTTTCTACGTAAAAGCTGCAAAATATCTTCAACGAGAATCATATTGATCTTGGTAAGCAATGCCACACACTTCCTTATACTCTATAATAAGCCCAGCCTGGCAAATTGCAAAACACTTGCTTCACAAATTCGCATTGATTACTGTGCGAAAATAATAATGATTTAAAAAATTAGAGGGAAAAGATGAGTTTTTATTCAAGGAAAGGCTTTTTATATGAAGTAGGCCAAGTTTGAGAGTGATTGTTAAAAAATAATCGTTCATCCTAATAAGCGCTTATGGGCTTTTGGTGAAAAAGCACTTATTTCAAATAGAGGAACATGGGTATTGAAGTATAAGCCAGGCCAGAAAAGAAATAATGCTACCATTATTGGATAAACACTTTAAAAAAAGAAACACTCATTTTGAGCTTATTTTCCAAACATCAATAATAATTATTTATTGATGTAATCCTGACCTAAAATAAATGAGATTAAGCACTTATTTTAAGCATTTACAAACTTAACCTAAATGCAGGACTAGAATTGTTTGTGTAATTGTGTTTTCGAACTTGACGAGTCAACCTCATAAAATTGTGCTGAGTCCACTCACATAGATCTGCAATGGCTCAAACAAGTGACTGAAGAAACCCGTTGGTCGGGCGGGGGGAGTTTCAGGTATTCAAGAAACCGCCTGAAATGCAGACTCAGATTTTGCTATTGCTATTTTATATTAACACGGGATTCTCTCGGACAGCACACCCATATGAAGAAGGCCCATAGCTCCATTATCCATACAACCAGCATTGCATTAAGGGCTTGTGATCCAATATACCCACGCATAGCCAAGAAATCAAAGGTTTAAAATGTGAAGAGAATCAAATACAAGGAACCATCTCGTCCCTTTATTTCAGCCCACTGTAATGAAGACAAAAATAATTGGGCAGACCTCGTGTCTAAGGGTGGCAATTTCTCACCCAACCCGCCACCCATTTACGAGTCGTGTCTCATCTCCCCATTTCACTGAAACAGGCAAAGGGGCTTATGGTATTGGATGCAGCAGCGGTTTACATTTTTTACTTAAAAAATCCGCTTCAGAAAAGCCGCCTTGCACGCCATTTTTTACTTTACTCTTCTGTCTCTTAACCTTTAATAATCTAAAGCCGTTTAGATTCAGATTCCACCTCGAGGCTCCGGCCCAGAAATGTTTTATCGATGTTCCTCGACGGTCGACACCTTCCCGAGTTGCTTATATACTTCATAGTTCATACAAAATTGAACTCTTAAAAAGCCTCTGGGCCCGCCACTTGGATTCATACCAATGGCCAATCAAAACCCAAATTTTTAAGACCCCCGAAACCTCAGCTTTGTGTTGGCAAATGGCAGCTTCTCTTCTTCTATTTCTTTTTTCGACTTTAATTAAGCCGTAATCCCTTATTTTAAAACTGGTAATCAATAATTATCATCTTGATTAGGACATGGTGGCTGGTGGGCCAGTAGGCTTTCAGGCCCAATCACTAATATTTTGGTTCAACGTATATAGTCGATCTTTTGTATTACCACCTAAAATGTAACTTGCATACATATATCTTTTAATGTATTGTTTTTGGTGTTTGAATTGGGTGTAATGATGTCAATTTGACCCTATTTATATTAATTCTTGACTAAAT